ACCCTTGATGGGGCTCGCCCGGGCAAAACAGGGGTATGTGTAGTTGGACAGGGTTTCTTTTAGTTTAGGCACGCTCGCGGCGCCTCGCCTCTGGCTCGACCCGTCCCTCGAGCGAGACTAGCTTCTCTCTCTCTCTCTCTCTCTCTCTCTCTCTCTCTCTCTCTCTCTCTCTCTCTCTCTCTCTCTCTCTCTCTCTCTCTCTCTCTCTCTCTCTCTCTCTCTCTCCCTCTCCCTCTCCCTCTCCCTCTCCCTCTCCCTCTCCCTCTCCCTCTCCCTCTCCCTCTCCCTCTCCCTCTCCCTCTCCCTCTCCCTCTCCCTCTCCCTCTCCCTTGTACCAACTTGCGCCCATTACTTCACCGCCTCTCCCTCAGGCTCGAGCACGCCCGACTGCGCCACCTTCGAACCGGGCAGCCTGGCGGCGGAATCGCCCTTCGAGGTGGAGAGGGTGGAGGTTTGGGGCACGGGCGGCGCGGACGCGGAGCGCGACCGGCTCGCCCTCCTCGACGGCGCCGTCGAGAAGCGGCGCCAGTCGGCGCGCTCCTTCTTGCGGCGCGAGCAGACCGACATGGGCGCGTCCCGGCTGGCGGAGAGCGACGCGTGGATCGTGGGGCTGCTCGGGCTGAACAAGGGGAGGGAGTACGTGCACTTCTGACCGTCCGCGCGGTCGCGTGTGCTGCCTGTGTGTCGTTTTAGCGTGGTCGCTTACGCTAAATCCTAAAACGAAAAAGCATATGCGCCTAGTGCGCACACTGGGCCCACATAGATGTGTGACCCGCCCGCTCGAGTGCGGCGTCCGGATGCTAGTGCTTGAGAAGACACCACAAACGCGGCACGGCCCGTTTTGCATGGATGTCTGCGGAGATTCTGTCTTAGCACACACAGTGAGTCATTCGGAGTCATTCGATGGCCAGAGTGCGATTGTGTGTGTGCGGGAGTTGGTTTGTCGGGAGGGAGGGGCAGGCTGCTCACCCACGTGCACCGGGCCAGTGCTTGCACTTTGAATGCCGTGGGGCTCCTGCCCGTGTCCGGGCGTGGAGATGCGAGGGTCGCCCCCCCTTGCCCCACCACTTTGTGTGTGTGGAGAAATCTACCTTACCTTACCTTACCTTAAGACGAAAAAAACACTGTATTATGTACGCGGGCGAGAGCCGAGGACGTTTTCTGCACATACGGCTAAAAGAATACCGCTCAGTGCAAGCCGGACGCGCGGAGCGGCGCACTCGCCTACCAGTACTCGCCCCTGGCCGTTTTTAGTTATTTTGCCTTGCAGTGGCGCGTCCGCAGCTCGTGTGCGTGCCGCCGTCCGCGCGGATTCCGACCAGCGCTCTGCGAGCTCTTGAGGCCTTCGGCCCTTCGCATCGGCGGCACGCATGCGACTGAAGTGTGTGGCTATTATCTTAAGTATTTCTCCTGTTCGTCTACGTGGCTGGGTTCACAGCGATTGTACCCGGGTAGGTAAATTGAGGGACCAACTCACGGTCGCGGCCTTCGACTCGCGCCTTCGCCTCACTGGCACTATTGTAGCCCTGGCCGGTGCGCGTGCGGAGTTGAAGTTCCGGAGTGAAAATTCAAACGCGTTCTCTCACGGTGACCAAAAAATGTCCACCTCAGAGGCACCTCCGGAGGCAGGCCGCCGCACGCCGGCGACACAGCTCCAGCTGTCGAACTGACCCGCAGCTCCTCTCAGAGCGGGAACTGTGACGAAAGTTGACTGAGGCGGTTGTCAGGAATCATCATACGGATCACATGGTGGCTCTTTCATGACGGGAGACCGCCCGACCACTCCTGGGTGGCACTGCCACCGGTGTCACTCGACGTCCCGTCGACAGCGTGCCGACAGCGACACAGACCATGTGGCGTCATCTGCACTCGAGGGTGGGTCGGCCGAGTTGCAGCTGGCGCGTATGTGATCACAATTGCGCCAAAGCCGTACGTGCCAATCTCAGCCGACGGGCACATCGAGATGCTTCTCGCGGCGTGGCGGCTTCCTCACCTCCGGGTGGGCCCATTTGGCGACAACCAAGTCCCTCGTGATTACAGCCTTCTTCTTGTCGCAGTGTTTGCTGCCTCTGTGGACGACGCGCTCACGCTCAGCCGCGGCGTCATCGCCGACTACAAGACCGTCAACGAGGCGCTGCCGTATGTCCGCGGGCGTATCGACTACGCTAGACAGCTCAAGCGCCCTCTCGGCTTTAGCGACCCACGTGTGGCGTGCTCCTTTGCTGAGCTCACAGAGGATACCCCACAAAACCGTCTGTTGAGCACGGCGACAACGCGGATGCTTCATATGGCGACGGCTCTCCTCCAAAGTCCCGAGGGGAGGGCGTGGCAGCCACTTGGTGACGCACTTGTCAAGCTTGAACGAGCGTCACGGATGCTGAGCAGCGTGCCATCGCGCTGGTTCAGCGAGCGCGAGCTCAGCAATTTCGCGACGTGCCCGACGCCGCGCTACAGATTTTACGAGCCTGCTTTGTCCCTGGCAAAGGCAATCCTACTGAGCTCGTCGCTCGAGGGCAGTGGTTCAGATGCAGGAATATCCTTCCTCATCAACATGAACGATGCCTTCGAAGAATACGTGCGAGCCACCTTGCGCAAGGTTTCGGCTGATTCACGAATGACGTGGTCTGAGGTCACCATCCGGCCTCTGCCCGACTCGGGCAGCGCTTTCGCGTTAAACAACAAGGGCTACGCGCCCGATTGTGTGTGCAAATGCAACGACCGATGCGTGGTGGCCGATGCCAAGTACAAGAGGCTGCACCTCAGTAAGTCAGGGCGGCTGCTGCCGATTCGCGAGGACGTCTTCCAAATGCTCGCATACATGTCCATGCTTGGCGCATCGGCGGGTCTCCTCGTGTATGCCGCGTGCGACCCGCGGTATTACGCCACAGCCGCACCGCCGCAATCCGGGCAGAGCACCTTCCTCTGGCGCGCAGAGTGGGACAGTGGTGCCAAGCTGTACTTTCTCTGCCTCAACCTCAAAGTAATGGCGGATGCGCGCTCCCACCTCGAGCACGCAGCAGCACACTGTCAAGCAGCTCTGGGGTTGGGAGTCGGTCCACGCCATGATGCCGCTTGCGAGTGGTGCGTGCATGGGTGAATGTTTGGCGGCGGCGGCGGTACGTTTTCGGTCCCCGCGGGCATTTTCGAGCTTTATGGAGCCAGTTCTGTGATTCATTTGTTATTTTTTCCTGCCCAGTGTTGTGCGAGGGAGCTTGGTTGTAAAATTCTTTTTCTGCGGCGAGGGCGGTCGAGTGCACGGAGCTAAGTGCCTCGCCGTCCTCGCGGGAGTCGCTTAGGCGGCTCCCGTGGTGTACCTGTGTTAGTGCCAGTGCGCGCCAGTCCCGTGCCCAGTGTCGTGGGTGGGTTCTAAAAATCTTTTTCGACGCAATCTCCGAAACTTTGGCTGTGGCGGCACGGCCCATCCTGACGCTCGCGGCGCTCTTGGCGGCGACGAACATGCGGAGCCCAGGTAGCGCCTGGGCAGGCCTCCTGATGGCCGCGCTGCGCGCGGTCGTCGTCGTCCTCGGCGTGGGCTCCGGTGCCCTCCACGCGCGCGCGTGCGACTCTGCGCACTTCTGCGCCCAGAAGCAGGATGCTTTCCTGCTGCAGGGTGCAGGAGGCGCTGCAGGATCGCTCGCCGCTGCGCGATGCGGCTCGGGAGCCTCGACGCTCGGCCGCTCGGGCGGCGCGCTCGCCCCGGGCGCGCGCAAGCTGCTGCTGCTCCTGCTGCAGTGGCGGCTGCCTCCTTTTGCTCTTCGGCTGGTACGAGCCGGGCGGCGGAAGGCGGCGACGGGCGGCGGCTGGCGGCGTGGGCCGCGGCGGCGCGTGCTCGACAGGCGGATCGCGGCGCCCGCGAGGCGCGGGCCGCGGAGGTTGGCAGAGCCAAAGGCTCTGTCCTGTTGGAGGTTCCTGCTGCCATCTCGCCGCCGGTGGTGGGTGGGGAGGGCGGCTGCCCTCGCTCGCTGCCTGATCCTGGACGTGCCCACGACGTGACTGTCGGAGGTAATTCGCTCGAGCTCGTCTCGGGCGTGGCCGGCACTCCGTTCTCTTCTTTTGGTGAGGCCACGGGATTGGCAGCGGGCGAGGCGGCGGCCGTCGGAACGCTGGGTGGGGAGGGCGGCTGCCCTCGCTCGCTGCCTGATCCTGGACGTGCCCACGTCGTGACTGTCGGAGGTAATTCGCTCGAGCTCGTCTCGGGCGTGGCCGGCACTCCGTTCTCTTCTTTTGGTGAGGCCACGGGATTGGCGGCGGGCGGGGCGGCGGCCGGCGGCCGTCGGAACGCCGGCGGGGGCGGCGGTCGAGCGGGCGGGCGCGAAGGCCGGGCGAGGCGGCGGGCGGCGGGCGGGGCGGCGGGCGAGGTGGCTGGCGTCGCGTGCGCGCGTCGGGGAGGCGGCGCGGGTGGCAGGCGCAGGCGCGGGTGGGGATTGGGCGAGGGGCGGAGCCGGGAGCGGCTCGCGGGTTGGTCCGGTGGGGGGCGGGGCGGGGCGGGGCGGGGTGGATCGGGTCGGGTCGGGTTTGGGCGGGGTTGCTCGGGTCGGGGGGGGGCGGGGTTGTGGGGTGGGGTGGGGATGTCGGGGTGGAGAGTGGGTGGGCCTCTAAGTGTCTAAAACTACGTGTACGGCTCTAGTGTCCCACTCTGCAAGACTGGGGCGGTACGCATAGACCTCTCACCTGCGCTTCCGACACCGCTCTAGTCACACGCTCGCTTCGCGGCACGCCGGCGCTACGTATGCGCGCAGCGCGGCCGCGGGCGGGTCTCGCCCGCCTCAGGTCATACGGAGCTGCATCCATAGCATCACCGGTTCGCGGCAGTAGGGGCACTGCTCCATCTTGGCGGAGCAGGCGCCGCACGCGGAGAGATGGCCGCACGGCGCGGCGATGTGCGTCTTTGGGTTGGTGAAGCACACGATGCACGTGGTATCACCGCCGAGGGTCGACTCGGGGGCCGCTGGCCGCCCCGTGTCGAAGGCGACGTTTGCCAGCGAGACGGCGACGGCGGGCTGCTGCGCGCTCTGCGGCTCGCCGTCGGCTGGTGCACTCGGCTCGCCGCCGCCGCCGGCTCCGGGTGACGCGCCATCGTCGCTCGCGTACGTTGAGCCGCGGCGCAAAGCCTGCCGCGCCAGTCCCGGCGTCGTCTGCGTGTCCGCGCTATGCAGGCCGTCCTGCGCTCCCTCGTGCGCGGAAGGTCCCTGCTGGCGACGGCCCGTCCCTCCCGCCGCAAGGTTATGCATAAGGTGCGAGACGCACGCCTTGCACCAGCTCCAGCCCCTCGAGCCCCTTGAGGCCAGCCCCTTGAGTGGCGCCAGCACCCTCGTCCACACACTGTCGAGCGCCGCCTCGACGCCGAACGCATCCCCGCTGAAATACTCCGCCAGCCGTGCCGCCAGCGCGCCGTCGGCAACGCGGTCGGCACACCAACGCTGCACCGCGCGGCTCCAGGCGTGGTTGGAGACTTGGTTGGAGAGGGCCTCCGCGAGCGTCGAATTGTCGAGACCAGCGATGTAGGACGTGAGGCTGGCGGTAGCCTGCGCGAGGGTGAGGTTGATGGCCACGTCGACGATCCCGTCAGCGGTCCACCCAGAGGGCGCGAGGAGGACGCGAGGCGCCAGGGAAAGAGGTAGGCCGACCCGACCCCCGGTCACGACGAGGAAGTTGACGGTGATGGCTATGGCGAACCACTCCCACTCCATCACACTTCCTGCCACTCGAGCGGCCACTGTGGCGCCAGAAGCCTCCTCCGCCTCCGCGCCCTGTACGCCCTGCGTGCCGCCGGACTCTGCTGCCTGCGCGACCCGGGACTGCTCCTGCTGGCGGCGCTGCTTCTCCTCCTCCAGCTGGCTCGCGGTCCAGCCTCTCCTCCTCCGCTGCCGCGCCGCGATCCCGCCGACGTCGCCGGCACCGGGCCCCTGCGCTGCCCGAAGCCTCTGCCGCTGCTCCGACGCGCTCTCGGGCGCGACCTGCACGCAAGAGACGCGCGTGAACGGCGCCTCCTTCGCAGCTCCCGGCACCCTCTCGGGCGCCATCCCACCCTCAACGACGACTCGGCGAAGCGCCAAGTGCCGTTTGGAAACTGCACGCAGAACTCACCGGCGTGCCCGGCCGCCCGCGACAGGACCTGCTCATGCGCGGCGGGCGTGACGTGGCGCCGTCCGGTGCCTGCCCGCCGTCTTCCCGGCGCGGCAGCACGCCTTGCCAATCTGGCCCGCGGGGATATCTACTACAACTCCTTTCTTTGTTGCTGCTGCTGCTACTGCTGCTACTGCTGCTACTGCTGCTACTGCTGCTACCGCTGCTACTGCTGCTACTGCTGCTACTGCTGCTACTCCTACGACTGGCACACCTTGCCAATCTGGCCCACCGGGACATCGGGATCGTGGCTTATCCACACGACGCGGCTGCCGACGGCCACGCGGCGCGTGTTCGCGCGGTGCTCGACCTCCTCCTGGAGAACGGCGCCGGCGGCCCACCGCCAAACCGCCTGAACGATCCTCACGCCCGCTGCGCAACATGCAGACGCGACCAGCCTACGGCGGCAAGAGGCGGGGAGAGGGTCCGGCCCAAATCTCGCGTCCCTCGCCGGCGGCGGCGCGGCGATTGGTGGCCTTCCGCCGACCACAGCCGACCGAAGCGCGGCGATGCAGAGTCGCAGTGCTCCGTCGACCTCCTCGGGCATGAGAAGCACAACCAGCGGCAGAGCCGTCAGGACGCGCGCCGGGGTCAGGGCGAGGGCGAGCCACTGTGACGGGCTCCGAAACACCGCGAGTCCGAGTTCCAGAACGGGGTAAGCAGCCAAGACCGGGGTCCAGAGCGCGTACCCTCCATGCGTGGCCGCGAGATGGCCCAGCGACTCTCCGATCGCGATCTCCCCCGAGGAGATGCGGAGCCGCCTGTCTAGCCAGCGGACGAGCACGACGGACGGACGGATCGACAGCGCAAGGAGGCTCCTCGGCAGCTCGAAGATGGCGACCGCGAGCCAGTCGACGACGTTGGAGGCGTCCAACAGCCACCCGAGTAGTCGCTGTACTGCTCCGTTGACGTAGTCCTCCGCCGGTGGTAACAACATGTGAGCACGTCGCATGCGGCCACGGACCGCGAGGTAACTGGCGAGCTGCAGCCAATCCAGCCGTATGAAAAGCTGCCAACCGAACACCGTCGATGGGCTGGTGAGTCTTAGCAACGTCATCATCCCCCGGACCTAATGAACCAATCAGTTGCGAGTGAACTCCATTCGCTCGTGGTGGGTCCAAGCTCCCAAGGCGCCGCGCGCACCCACCCAACGAAAACAGGGAGGACGAGGCCGGCAAAGAGCAGCGCGTGTGCGACCCACGTCGGCGCCACCTCCGCCCACTCGGGGAACCGCTGGCAGAGCTGCCTTCGCAGCGCGATGAGGGAGAGCCAGCCGGTCAAGAAAGAAATCCCCAGCGCGATCTCGGACAGGTAGAAGTCACACACGATGTAGGAGTGCACCAGCGAGCCAGACTGGTAGTAGAGGGTCGGATGCCCCGCCCACGCCTCGCTGTCTTGCTTGGTGTGGTTGACCGCAACCAGGAGGCGGCGGTCCGCGGCGATGGCCTGCTCACAGCGGGGAGGTGTGAATAGCCACACCCTCGCTGCGCGGCGGCTCACAGTGGGCGTTGCGGCACCGGAAAGGTGAGTTCGTAGGTGAGGGCCAAAGTCCCTCCCATTTCCACCGCCCGCCTCGCCGCCGCGTCGCTGCCGACCGCCGAGAAGCCCTTCACGCTGACGGTGCGGCGGCTGCCGGCGGGCTCCACCTGGAGAAGCGAGCAGGGAGAGCGGGGTCGTGCGTGCGTGCGTGCGTGCGTGCGTGCGTGCGTGCGTGCGTGCGTGCGTGCGTGCGTGCGTGCGTGCGTGCGTGCGTGCTATGTGCGTGCTATGTGCGTGCCATGTGCGTGCTAGGTGCGTGGTGCGTGGGAGGGGCGGGTTGCCGCGCCTCCGCCGGGACCGTGAGGTCGTACAAGCACACGCCGCCGCGGCAGTGCGGCAAGTGCTCTGCGCACGAAGCGGCGCAGTGAAGGACCATCCAAGGCAAGTTGCTGGCGCACTCGCCCTTGCGGGCCCACGAGGCGCACTCGCCGGGGCTGACGCCCTCATGCGCGTCCTATTGTACGTGCATCGACTCACTCATGCAGACCTCTCACGAAACAACCGCGCCGCTCCCACGGCGTCCAATCTTGCCTCGGAGGGCGGCGTCAAATACGCGCGGCTATCCGCCTACACGGCGAGATCGGCAGAGGTGGGCCGAAAACTGCCCCTGAGAACGCGGCCGTCCGAGAGCCAGTTGACAACGTCGTGCCAGAACCACGCCACCACCGGTGCGAAGCGGTGTGCGACCGAAGGCGTCGCGATGAGCGTAACAGAGCCATCTGGCATAGTAGCGGTACCGCGCCCGTATTTCTTCCGCAACGCAGCTTGCTTCAACGCGGCTTGCTTCTTGCGTTCTGCGGCAGCAAGCTCCCGTGCGACCCTCTCGCCGCCACGAGATCCGCCTATTCATTGATTAGGTCAGCTAACAATGGACTCTCATTGGCAGCTGAGCTCTCCGCCGCCCTTGCCGCCGCCCTTGCCGCCGCCCTTGCCGCCGCCCTTGCCGCCGTCCTTGCCGCCGCCCTTGCCGCCGCCCTTGCCGCCGCCCTTACTCCCGGTACTCATCCTTGGAGAGTTGCCAACCCGAACGTCGTGGAGGTGAACGGAGCCCTCTCCTGTGGCGGCCCTTAGATCTACCCGAACGTCCTGGAGGTGAACGGAGCCTGTTCCTGTGGCGGTGATGAAGGGCCGCAGGGCGTCCGGCAAAGCGTCTTTCGGTCCGGCAAAGTTGGTGATCCCGCCCTTGACTTCAAACGCCGCGATCTTGGCCTTGCTGGCCTCCAGCTCCTCGCGCCCGAGTCCGAGCGGCTCCAGTGGCGGTTGCGACAGGGATGCAGGCCGCTGGACCACGCTTCTCGCATTCGTGTGCACTGTGTCGAGCTCGGCCTTGACCGCGTCGGCCTTGGAGCCGAGCGCGTCGATCTGCTTGCGCTGCTTGGCGAGCTCAGCTTCTCGGTGTCGTCGGGCGCGTATGTGCACAGGACCAGGATCGGGTGCCGCTTCTTCAGCCGGGCGCACCTGCT